TTCCTACTCCACTTTCTACCACCGTTCCCCAAATTTCAATATAATCTCTCTACTCTTTCTTTTAACCACATAAGTACCATAATCAGCAAACCTACTCGTTTGAAAACATTCTATTTCATGTCCAGTTTCTACTTCTGACCGTTGGACCCAGCTTCCTTTACAATCATTTTTGTGTTCTCCCAATCTTTGTCGAATAGGTCGGCATGTCCTACCAACACAACATGGACCAGATGAGCAAACAATCTTGTAGCAGCCGGATCTCGAGAATGGGTCATATTTCTCTCTAAAAGATGGAATAGCAAGAGAAAATGCGAGAGTTTCTTTGAACAATATTTGTATGCCCCACTTATTTACAAATTCGCCTACCTTTTTTGAGAGAAGGCATTACCAAAAAATAGGACCAAGTTGCGAAAACAAGGTCAAACAGCCTCTATACAAAGAAATGAGACTGCGACCACACAAAAGGCCACACCATCTTGGTCTCGTACCTTCAATTATATGGCAAGATTGGTGCAACACTTACTGCAAGAGGCAATACTAACCCACAAATTGTTGGTCAGATACGTGGATGACTATTTTGTCATCTGGCCTCATGGTAAGAACAGTTTAGATAGTTTCCTACTTTCACTCAACTAACGTGAAAGTAACATTAGGTTCACGATGGAAATGAAAGAGAATAAGTCCTTACATTTTCTGGAAGTTCTCATCATTAGCGAAGAGGGTAAGTTAGAAAAAGATGTTTATAGGAAGTCAACATATATTGGCTCTTTGCTTACCTTTCTTTCCAACCATAGTTACAAGACAGATAGTGTTCTTGCCCTCGTGTTAAAGTCAGACTTTTACAAGAATGACAGCCAGCTCTGATGATGTCCATCGAATGATGGACGAAAGCTCAGCCAGTTTTCACCCAAAACGAGGGAGCAGATTCTCATACAATCGAGCCGAAATAACAGAACGAACATGAAAGAAAATTAACGAAACCACTCTATCTGGATCTGTCTAGATTTGTAATTTTTAATCTATTGACTCGACTGAGTCTACATAAGAACTAAGATGAAGGCGGATAGTGTTCTTGCTTTAGTGTTAACGTGAGACTCTCACAAGAATGAAACCCAGCTCTGATGATGTCCAACAGTTGATGTACGAAAGTTCAGCCCATTTTCACCCAAAACGAGGGAGCAAGTCTCGTGGACTGCGTCAACATGAATATCGTCTAAAAGCCAAACGGCTGCAGTACAACGAGTTTCATCCGTCCTCATCTGGTGTGATCGACCATTGAATTTCTTCTTCATGCACTTATATACACAATGAAAGTCCCCTTGACAATATTATTTGGAGAGATTAATCGAAACCCAATTTCTATTCCTATCCAGAATATCAATTTTACTCATTATGAATTTAAGTAGTATCTAAAATAATAATGAAAAAACTGAATAATGTGAGATGTATATAACGTATTTGATTTAAGATGAACAAGGGGATTGATATTTTAATTTTCCCTCAGTCATATGAGTAGGTCCCTTGTTTGCAAAAGGCGTTCTCATCTAGAAAAGAGTGGACTACAGTTTCGACCTCGTCTGCGCGAATCAAAGTCGGGTTGCAGCAGTACAGCCTATGATTTCCACATGCTAAAATTGCGTCAAATTGTTAATGGTTCCCTTTTTTGCTGGTTTTTTTTAACTCTAAATGGTTATATTTTTCTCTTACAATCGACTATACTACTCATCTTGCCTTCGTAAGTATGTATCGAGAGGCGTTCACTTTATTTCTTTCGTCATCTTAAAAGAAATAAGACGATCTCCCTCAAATATATGATCTTCTGGTCGTCTCAAAGCCTACCTGTAAGCTAATAACACAAGTTTACTTTATAGAAAAGGCCACTGTGAAAATGCTAGTCCTTAGAGGCGAGTCGACTCTGTTGCCGACTGGCTGAGGTGCATGTATTTCGCCGAAATATGACGTTGCCGAGGCCCTTCTGGATGCTGATGAGAGGATGAGGCAGGTCGCGGCTTCATTTTGCTTTGCGTGTAAAGCCTTTGGAGAACCAAGTAAATGTGCATTTTATTGAGAGCAAGAAACTTACATATTTCATTGTGGCCAAATGTAAACAAGATCTGTCGATATTCACTTTAACCTACGGCGACATTGCATCACGAGGGTCCTTGTGTCACGTGGCAAATGCCAATTTCACGGAAGGCATTCTCCCATATCACATTCTATGTGGGGATTGTCGATGAGACAAAATTCAATTTTCAATTGCAATCGACGATATTACTTATATTCAGTTTGTGAGTAGTTATTCTATTCTACCAGTAAATCAGTTATATGTCATTGTGGAAACATTCAGCAACCAGTGCCTTTATCAACCTAAACGAAATAAGGTGAATAAATCTCAGATAATACAGATTTATTGGAAGCCTCGAAACCGTATTTATAAACAGAAAATTGAATTGTCAATTTTTATTCAGCTCATCCCAACCAGAAGTCATTACAGCTTCTGACAGTCTGAAAACCTACTAATTATGAAGTTTACTTCTTGAACCGAGGCAGACACATACACTTATTCAACATTTTTTCATACTTAACTCTAAAGTAATCTGGCCAGCCTCATTGTTGGTACCACCCTGCACCTCGATGCCACGTAACAGATAGCGTGTTTGGTGTCTCCCATTTTTTTAGGCAAAAACATACAGACACACAAACACACTGAAACATTTTAAATCCCAATTGTACTTATACACACCCCTACATGATAACACACACAAATGCACACACACATTGTCCATCCATGCTCAAACGTATAAGCCACGGTACCCGCTCATTGGGTCGGCTGAAGTGGAGAGAGAATAAAATGTGTTTTTTGCACACTCAACTCTGTCGGATGGAGACAAAGTGGGCAGATGGAAGCACGGTTGAGTCGAGCCGCTTTGTCACGGAATTGCAGTCGCTGTTGGAGCAGAACGGCTGGACGGTTTGGAAGAGAAGAAAGTGAAATGGCAAATGGGCTCCAGCCTCACGGACGCTTGGCTCGAGTGCGTTGTGCATCTGATGGGCGGCTGAAAGGAGGACGAGAGGACGAGGAGAGAGCAATGGCTGGCGTCAGGGCAGAAATGCAAATCATCAACACGTCGAAGCGGACAAGTCGACTCTGAACAAGTGGCTTGAGTCAGGTCTCGTCTCTTCTGCTTCTGTCTATCGCCTGGAGACGAGAACATGGTCCGAGACATGCAAATCTGCCCAACTGGTGACGCGTATGCGCGTGTGAATGTCGTCACGTGTGTGCAGGTCAGTTCTGGAGACAAACGGAAAAGGGAGGTTTCTTTATCTTTCCTGAAGCCCAAGCTGAAGATGAATTGTGAGTGAATAAAAGAGGAATGAGAAGAAGAGGATAAGGCAGGAAGGTGGCGGAAGTGAGTGGAGCAAAAGGTAAAGATGGCGGGAAGATGAGAAAAGAGGAGTACGGGTCGGACAGGACAAAAATGGCTGCAGCTCCTCATTCTACTCCTCCTTCTGTTGCTCCTCTTCTTCCTATTCCTCTTCCCTATCCTTTTTCTCCTCCTCCGCCTTCTGTTGCTCCTCTTCCTCCTCTTCCTCCTCCTCCTCCTTCTGTTGCTCCTCTTCCTCCTTTTCCTCCTCCTCCTCTTCTTCCTCCTTATTCTTTTTCTCCTCCTCCTCCTCCTCCTCGTTCTGTTGCTCTTCTTC